CCTCACGCCACGTGAGAAGTTACTCGATCACGTGAAATGGAGGGTGAGAGGGCACGTGTCAGCTAGGGATGGAGCACTACACAATGTGTGGGCACGTGATCATAGTCCACGCAGGCATCCACGCAGCACAACTGTTTAGCTTTTTTTTTTTTTTTGAAGAAAATTCCACTGTGGTAGGGTTTGCTGACACACCTTAAGTACGATCCCTATTTATTCATGCGTTATCATGTCAAATCATTTTTTGAGCTCGCCCCTATTTAACATGAAAATGTTTGGGGTATGCATGTGTTTTTTGTGTGTACATTTTTAACATACTAGCCCCGTCATTTTTAGTGATGTCATTTTTAAGAAAAGTAAAATTATGTGATTGATAATGAGAATAAAGTAAGAGTAAATTAGAGTCGCACAAATATTATAAAATATGATTGAAACAATTATAAGCGGCATCCAAAAATGAAAATATGCGACAATTATAGGGGAATGAAGGGAGTATTTATCTTTTTGCATACACACTTTCTCATCATCATATTTTAATGAATAACAAATGAAAAGTAAATATATCTTCACAACTTATATTACTCCCTCCGTCTTACTAAGAATGAGACAAGAGGGAGTGACATGCAACCTAATAAAAAGTGGGTTACGTGATTGATATTGAATTAATAAATTAAAAAAAAAAAGTAAGAATGATTGATAATCACACAAACTTTACCAAATTTAATTGGTATGAAAAAAAATTAGTGAGATGAACCGAAAAAGTGAAATGAGACAATCTTATTGAACCATTGCACAAACCTTAAATTCAAATGCCAAGGAGCTAAACATAGCTTGATAATATATAAAATTACAAACTGAATAAAACGTAGTTCATTTTGTGATGGGAAAGTAACAAATAAGCCCTTGAACTAACTAAAAAAGTGCAAATCATCCCTTTATAAGAGGCTCTGTCCGGCCGTCGCCATTTGGAACGGTTCCCGGTGGAATTTTTTGATGAAATTGTTTGAGCATCTTCTTCATTAAGCCGTGTTTACTCATACCAAATTTCAGTTAAAAATTCAATTGGGAAGGCAGTCAAATGAAGTTTTGAAGATAACTGCTCAGTTAAACGACAACGCAGTATATTTTTAGAAAATCATTTGACTGCTTTCCCGGTTGAAATTTAGTAATATCGACGGCTCAAATAAAATTATGAATTATTTTTAGCGTTATACGGTTACCAATTCATTGTAGCTACCAATCCATTGTAGCGTATGAATTGATTAGTAATATCGACGCTGCAATCATATTTGAATACGGTTATCAATTCATCGCCGGTTCAATGTTTAGCTCAAATTTAATAATATCTCCGTATACTAATCAATTCATTGTAGCGTATAATCAATTCATGATTAGTAATAGTTAAACGACGGCTCAAATAAAATCTATAGAAGTTGAGGGCCTACTTGTCAATAGAAGAATCTCACCTGAAGTTTCTCAAGCATTGTCACGATTCATTGAACATTCTACGCGTGTTGTATTGTATCACAAAATTTGTTTGTGGATAGATTTACCTATACGACATTACGACTGTACTTGATTATATACACTCCCCTCTCTTAATTAAATTATAATTTGGGTTTTTATGGTTAATTTAGGAATAGATAAACAGATATTCAGTTTTAGTAATTAAAAATTACTTATTGGGCATATAATAAAAAAATTGATGTGCTAATTTAGTAAATGGAAGGAAACTGTGTTGACGAATAAAAATAGACTTTGCAAATCATTTTCAAACCGAGCAAGTGTTAAGAAGTACTACCTCTGTCCCATTTATATTGAGACGGAAGAGGGTAACACGGTTATTAAGCAAAGTGGGTTTGTGTGGTTGATATTAATTGATAAAGTAAGAATAAAGTCAGAATGATTTAGAATCACACAAACTTCGCCAAATATGGTATGAGACAATTTAAGTGAGACTTCCCGAAAAGGTAAAACAGGATAAAATAAATAGGACGGAGGGAGTACCTTGTATTAGATTTGATGAGGAACTGAGAGTTCAATTATTTCCAATTTATATGATCTAAGGATCAAAATTAACAATATTAATATATGTTCTACATTTGTGTATTATATATATAATTATGTATTATATATATGTATCATTTGATAAAAATAATATTTGAAGGATACATCCATTGTGACAACACTATTTAGGACAAATATAAAGGGTTGTGAATATTTGGATTTTCCTATTATTAATACCCCTCTCTCCTCGATGCAATACATACCTATAGACACAAACACTAAGGAAAGAAAATCACAACTCCATAAAATTACATAATCCATCTATCATTGTCTTAAAAGGTGCTGGTATTACCCATTCAAATTTCTTCCTATCTCTCTCAAATGAATATTGAATTAATTGTGTGATGGATCTTATATATGATACTTCTTACTACGTATTAATTTTTCAACACTGAGCATACTACACACTCCGTAATAAAGAATGATAATTCTTTCTTTACCATTTATCACGTCAACACGAGAGAATAGAGTAGTAAGTAGGGACATGTTAGGCTGCTCCTTCCAATTTCAAAAACCTTTTAAAGTTCGTTAGTGTACATAATTTTAGGTAAAAACTTATTTAAATTTTTATATCAATATGCTGATAAATAATATATATGATAAATTGGAATTATAATAATACTAAGATTGAATCGTATGATGAAGAAAGAAGTTGTATATTACGTATGTGTATCGTGCCTCAATTACAAAGACTACTGATCGTATATATACAACCAAGACTAAAGCTATACTAGGAAAGAGGATAATTACAATAAAGATGGGTAATAATATAATTATAACACGTACAAAGCATGAGATCTTCAAATTCCATATATACATATGAACGGCACTTTCCATGTAGCATGAGATCGGTACTTTCCATGCATGGAATTATTTTACGTAATACTCCCCCTCAAGTTGGAGTATGGAGGTCTCGAATACCCAACTTGCTACGTAGAAAGTGAAACCGATCAACACCCAAGGCCGTAGTAAAAATGTCAGCAACCTGATGTTCCGTAGAAATAGGCTGAGGTAGTATGTCGCGACTGGTGACACGTTCACGAACAAAATAACAGTCCATTTCCACATGCTTGGTACGTTCATGATAAACGGGATTGGCAGCAATATGCCGAGCAGCCTGGTTGTCACAAAATAGGGGTGTGGGCGAGGTAAGGTTAATGCCAAAGTCACGTAAAAGCCACCGAAGCCAAATGATCTCACTAACAGCAACCGCCATGGACCGATATTCAGCCTCAGCGGATGAGCGGGAGACAACGCTTTGCTTTTTCGTACGCCATGAGATGGGGGATCCGCCGAGAGTAATAAAATAACCAGAACTAGAACGTCGGGTAAAAGGACAACCCGCCCAGTCAGCATCACAATATGCCATCAAGGTGAAATCAGTAGTGGAGGAAAGGAAGATGCCCATACCGGGCGTGGCCTTCAGATACCGAAGGATACGGTAGGCAGCGTCTAAGTGGGTTTGGCGAGGATCTGACAGAAATTGGCTCAACTGGTTTACGGCAAAAACGATGTCTGGTCGTGTCACCGTTAGATACAGCAGTCGGCCAATGAGCCGCCTATACATGGAGGCATCAATTAGAGGGCTGTTATCCGTAGGACGGAGTTTTAGATTCTGGTCCATGGGAAATAAACTTGGGCGGCTACCTTGCATGCCACTTTCTTCTAGAATATCCAACGTGTATTTTCGTTGACTAAGAACAAATCCGGCAGATGATCGCGCCACCTCAAGTCCAAGAAAATATTTGAGGACACCAAGATCCTTGATAGTGAATTTATGATCAAGATGTTGTTTGACGTAATTGATATGTGCCAAATTATTACCAGCAAGCAAAACGTCATCAACGTAAATTAGGGCCGCGGTGTAAGTAGTGCCACGACGGTAGACAAAAAGAGAATGATCTGCACGAGATTGGTTAAAACCAAGTAGTGAAAGAGCACAGGTAAATTTTTCATACCAATTGCGGGATGCCTGACGAAGCCCATATAGAGATTTCTGTAGTTTGCACACACGATGATCGCCCGGTTTAGCAAAACCTTGTGGAATTTTCATATAAACATGTTCATGGAGATCACCGTGCAAAAATGCGTTGTTGACATCCAGTTGATGAACAATCCAATTATTTTTTGCCGCAATCGCCAGTAGGTACCGTACAGTAACGAGCTTGGCTACGGGGGCAAACGTCTCATGGAAATCCACGCCTTCAATTTGAGTGAAACCTTTTGCAACAAGTCGGGCTTTGTACCGTTCCACTTCACCATTGGGTTTGTATTTAATTTTATAAACCCATTTTGAATCAACAATCTTCTTGCCGGGTGGTGGTGGAACCAAGACCCAAGTGCCGTTTGCCTCAAGTGCGTTAATCTCCTTTTGCATGGCTTCCCTCCATTTGGGGTCTTTAATGGCTTGAGAAAAATATTTGGGCTCATCATGTGATGTGATGGCCGCTAAAAAAGCACGGTGAGAAGGAGAAAATTTATTATACGTAAGAAATTGTGTAACAGGATGTACCGTTGAGTTAGCCGAAGGAGAGGTAGAGATGGAACCGGTGAGCGAAGGTGGCAACGTAATATCAAAGGCGTCCAAATGTTTGGGGCGTCGTCTGTTCCGGTCACTTCTCCGTGGAGCAATAATGTCAGCGTGCGTATTGGCAGATGGCACGGATTCAGAATTGTGTTGTGACCCATTATCTTCAATTTGAGGGGGCACGTCATTACTGCAAGTCAAAGGCAGAGTGCCATCTAGCATGGGACTTGAGGAGCTGGAGGTCCTGATTGCTGGCCGTGAATAGATGGGAATGGCAGGAGTATTATTGCAGCCAACAATTTTATTATAGACCATACGTACATGCATGTCAAAATCACCCATATACATAGTATCTTTGAAAGGAAAAATATCCTCAAAAAACGTAACATCCCTGGAGCTATATAATTGTTGAGTATATAAATCAAAAACTCTGTAGGCCTTTTGCCCATTAGGATATCCCACAAAAATACAAGGGCTCACTCTTTCATCAAACTTGTCCTTTCTCTTGTTATTGTGAGCATAAACAAGACACCCAAAACTCCGGAGGTGCATGTAATTGGGTACTTTGTGAAATAATAATTCATATGGGGTCTTGTTAGAAATGATGGGTGCAGGTAGCCGATTTATAATATGAACTGCAGTAAGAATGCACTCACCCCAAAATTCAACGGGTAACCCGGACTGAAAACGCAAGGCTCTGGCTACCTCAAGAATGTGACGATGTTTGCGCTCTACGACGCCATTTTGTTGTGGCGTTTCAGTGCAAGAGGTCTCTAGAATAATTCCATGAGTGCTATAAAAATCAAGTAATGCATGGGTCTGAAACTCAACGCCATTATCAGTACGAATGCATTTGATGCACTGATCAAATTGAGTACACACCATGTTATAAAAATGCATTAGAAATTGCCCAACATCGGACTTATTTTTCATAAGGTAAACCCAAACGCCACGGGTAAAGTCATCAACAATAGAAAGGAAATAGCGTGCTCCGGTGAGGGAACGACAATTGTACCCTCCCCAAATGTCACAATGAATTAATTCAAAACAACGTGTAGTTTTAATACTGCTACGGGGAAAAGGAAGACGAGTCTGTTTAGCTCGTACACAAGAATCACAGAAAATAGTACTTCGCTTGAAACCTTGCAGGAGATTGATGTGGCGAAGTTTTTATCCGACGCATGACCGAGACGTTGATGCCAAACCTCAGCATGTGTGGAAGCAGACATTGCCACTCGCTCACCAGTAAAGGATTCCAAGTAATATAAGCCATTGTAGAATCTACCCACTCCAATCGGCTTCCTCGAGGGTAAGGCCTGCAATACACAAAAATCCCCGTAAAATATAAGTGCACAATTATGTTCATTGATAAGACGGCTAACAGATAATAAATTGCACCGAAAGGATGGAATGCATAAAACACGTGACAGTGTCATTCCACCGGGTAAAATAATACTGCCAATAGAGTGTACGGGCACTATATCACCATTAGGTATCCGAACCGGGGGCTCCGATGGACTTGCCATAACATTGGATAATAAAGATTCATCGTGCGTGATGTGATCCGTTGCCCCGGAATCTATAATCCATGTTGGCCGAAGTTTGGTGGTACCTGCCATGTTGACCTGGGTAATAGGGGGCTCCTCTTGAGTGAGTCCTTTTCCTTTAAATTCATCACGTACCAACTGTGCTAGGCACTGAAGTTGATCACGTGAGAAACCAAGTGTATTTATGTTAACTTGGTCAACATGTGCAGCCCTTGGTTGACCACCTTTTTTATGCAAGTTTCCCATGCGATCACGTGGCAGTGTAGAACGAGCTCCTTGAGGTTTGGTGTCTCTGTTTCGCACGTTCCAGGTAGCCGGGTAGCCTATTATTTCAAAACACGTGTCAACTGTGTGATTTGATTTTCCACAATTAGTACAATAACGGCTGTCTGTCCCAGCACCCAATTTTCGGTTTGGATCTGAAGAAGGATTAGGTTGAGCCTGAAACGCCGAGATTTCAGGTCCGGCTTTCCGTGAACTAGCGATGATGCGATGCTGCTCCCCCTCTGAGATGAGATGATAAGCCGCAGTCAGTGTTGGTATGGGCCTGGTAGCAAGAATTTGAGATTTGAGTGTCCCATAATATCCATCCAAACCCATTAAAAAATCATATAAATGGTCTCGATCACGGGCTTCATTGAATTTTTTAGTGATATCACAAGAACACTTTCCACAAGAACAAGTTGGGTCCTTTATGATTGACACCATTTCATCCCATACGCGCCGGAGTCGACTAAAATAAGCCGACACGGACTGCCCATCCTGCCGAATGGCTCCAAGTGAACACCTTAATTCATATGCTCGTGGTGCGCTCTCCTTTCCAAAACGTTCTTCAAGATCCGTCCAGATTTCACGTGCCGTCTTGAATTTGACGCTTTGTCGCAGAAATAGCTCCATGCTACTGTTGAGCCACGCCTTAACCATCGCGTTGGCCCGCTGCCAATATGGTAAATAGGGTGATTTTGCCTCCGGCATCGGCAAGTCTCCATTCACGAAGCCAATTTTATTTTTGGCATACAAGGCGTTGCTCATTTCATCGAGCCAGTCGCCGTAATTACCATCTCGTAAAAGTGAAGTCACGAACACATCCCCCGGTTTATCACCGGATTGGATGTAATATGGGGACATGCAATCTATGACCGACGTGTTACCGCCGCCGCCGGCTTCATCGCCAACCACCATCTTTTCGGGATATCAATTATCAGTATGAAAAAATTCCAGGATTTGGCTCTGATACCATGATAAATAATATATATGATAAATTGGAATTATAATAATACTAAGATTGAATCGTATGATGAAGAAAGAAGTTGTATATTACGTATGTGTATCGTGCCTCAATTACAAAGACTACTGATCGTATATATACAACCAAGACTAAAGCTATACTAGGAAAGAGGATAATTACAATAAAGATGGATAATAATATAATTATAACACGTACAAAGCATGAGATCTTCAAATTCCATATATACATATGAACGGCACTTTCCATGTAGCATGAGATCGGTACTTTCCATGCATGGAATTATTTTACGTAATATATGCTTCACATGCTTACTAAATATTTTAAAATACAGGAATAGGGGAGAGTTCTAGAGAGAGTCCATATTAAAAGAGAGAATTTCATTCCGTTCCACATTTTTGGGTTGATATATGACTTTGCGTCATATTTTTAAAAATATTAATATATATGATAGAGTATATGGGTTTAGACCCCATGACCCACATACTCAGAAGGTCAAGGACACCAGAGGACATCCACGTGGCATCCTTCGGCCACATAGGTCTGCAACAGCCAAAATCGAAACTACTCAGAACACTGCCTGGAGACAAAGTAGACCCCCCATCGGTCGGGGACTGCACCGGCCAGGGGACCGCGTCGGCCAAAGGCACCGCATCTGCCAGAGACCATCATGGCAGAATGTATTTTCCTACCCAAAGAAGGCATGATTATTGTAATGGGCCTCTTAAGCCCAAGGCTAGGAGTCCAAATCCACATTTACTCCTATGAATAGCTCCCTAGGGGTAATTATAGGGGGTTGAGAAAATATTAATTGCTCACTTTCTCTAAAAATTACGAAGGAGTATGGTGTAAAGTCGAATGATTTTATAGTGAAATGAGGTGCATACGTTAATAGTTTTCAAACTATAAGCAAAAGTCAAATATGACTAGGAGTGCAAAGTCATCCATCCATATCAAAATGAGAACTCAACTTTTGATTCGGAATTGTGACTTTATTCATTCATTCATTAGACTACCAAAATTCAAACATATATGGCCTTTTCTGTAATTAGTGTAAATTAATGATAACAAAACCATCTTATTGATTCTAAGATTTCTAACCATTGGCGCAAAATGTAAAAGGCGAGGATTTTATTCGTTTATATGTGTTTTCCTCTTAGAAGAGGTTGACACTTGAACCCAATCCAGGTGGAGCCACCCTTTTAGGTGTCACTATATATCTATATATATATATATATAGTAGTCTTCCGGTCAGGTATACCTGACCGGAGCCCCGTCCGGCCTCCTCCATTTGGGGGCCTTCCCGGTGGTATTTTTTGCTCAAATTTTTTGTGTAGGTTCCTCATCAAGTCTAGTTTGTCCATACCAAATTTCAGCCAAAAATTCAATCGGGAAGGTCGTCAAATGATTTTGGCAAGTTAACTGGTCCGGAAAATACATATTCCGGACCAGTTAACTTGCAAAAATCATTTGACGACCTTCCCGATTGAATTTTTGGATGAAATTTGGTATGGACAAACTAGACGTGATGAGGAACCTTCACGAAAAATTTGAGCAAAAAATACCATCGGGAAGGCCCCCAAATGGAGGAGGCCGGACGGGGGGCAGTGGTCCGGCCTGGCCGGACCTGAATTATTCTCTCTCTCTCTCTCTCTCTCTCTCTCTCTCTATATATATATATATATATATATTGGTTCAGGTGAGAAATACATCTAATGTGAGAAATGAGAATGAATCTCAGCCATTGGATTTACGAAGTTGCACTAAAATTGATTTTATGTTGCAGTGATATTTAAATTTTGCACATGTTGCACTAAAACTGTTTCATGTTGCACTAATATTTGACGGCGTTGCACCGAAATAGCTTCATGTTGCACTAGACACGTGTAATACGGATTTTTCAGAAGTATTTACAGAAATGCCACCGTGCTAGATTGCATATTTCAGTTGCATCATGAAGTGTCTTTTACTGCAACTTAGTCGAATCCAATGGTTGAGATTCATTCTCATTTCTCACCCAAAGGGTTCTTCTCACTTGAACCTTACCCTATATATATATATATATGAGTGCTCTTCATGTCAGGCCGGCCTGACGGGCTGCCCCGTCCGGCCGAGCCCGTTTGGGCACCTTCCCGGTGGAATTTTTTGATGAAATTTTTTGAGCATGTTCCTCATCAAGTCTAGTTTGTCCATACCAAATTTCAGCTCAAAATTCGATCGGGAAGGTCGTCAAATGATTTTTCCAAGTTAACTGGTCCGGAATATGCATATTCCGGACCAGTTAACTTGGAAAAATCATTTGACGACCTTCCCGATCGAATTTTGAGCTGAAATTTGGTATGGACAAACTAGACTTGACGAGGAACATGCTCAAAAAATTTCATCAAAAAATTCCACCGGGAAGGTGCCCAAACGGGCTCGGCCGGACGGGGCAGCCCGTCAGGCCGGCCTGACATGAAGAGCACTCTATATATATATATAGAGTGCTCTTCATGTCAGGCCGGCCTGACGGGCTGCCCCGTCCGGCCGAGCCCGTTTGGGCACCTTCCCGGTGGAATTTTTTGATGAAATTTTTTGAGCATGTTCCTCGTCAAGTCTAGTTTGTCCATACCAAATTTCAGCTCAAAATTCGATCGGGAAGGTCGTCAAATGATTTTTCCAAGTTAACTGGTCCGGAATATGCATATTCCGGACCAGTTAACTTGGAAAAATCATTTGACGACCTTCCCGATCGAATTTTGAGCTGAAATTTGGTATGGATAAACTAGACTTCATGAACAACATGCTAAAAAAATTTCATCAAAAAATTCCATCGGGAAGTGCCCGAAATGCCCTCGGCCGGACGGCGGTTCCCGTCAGGCCGGCTGGACATGAAAAGTTGTCTATATATATATATATATATATATATATATATATATAGGGTTGGGTTCTAATGAGAACATCCTTTAACGTGAGAACGTGAGAACACATCCTGGCTTCTAATCTCATCAAACGTACGATTATAAATGTGGAAGTTCACATTTTTATGGTGCACCGCTGTCACAAATAAACACATCACACAAGCTATTTTGTGCATGTGTGGGATCATTTAAGGGTAGAATTGTCAAATTATAATAAAAGATACGTGTGCATTCATGGGGGTACCGTTTTATTTTTGTCATCATTTCCCTAAAAACTAGGTAATATTAAATCTCAACTCATATAAAATTTCTTTAATTTAAAAATTGATTTAACTTCTTAAATAATAATCCGATTTTAACAAAAATCATACCAAATTAAATAACTTTTCATGCTCTTTCATATGACACCAATATGTCATTTATAATTTTTAAAAATAAAATATGTATAAAATGCATACAATAAAGAACAACAATCATCTTTGACTATTGGATGCACAAGAACATGTATCAAACACACAATTATAAATATCTATTGCACACGAAAAGTAGTATCTCACACATATTTGTATATAAAGCATCAGAAACATCTTAATCACAAAAATCTATATTTAATGCACAAGAATTAATAACTAATATCTAACACATAAATATTTCATATAACACACAACAACTAATATTTAACCCACACGGACCAATATCTAACACACAATGTGTATAAGAAAAACTAAAACAAGTATATTAGGCACAAAGTCCAACATACATCTAATGCACAAAGAACAATATTTGACACACAACAATTAAAACCTAATTAATATCTAACACATAAGGATTTTACACAACTTAACTAATATATAACACACAAGAATCAATATCTTATGCACAATACGAATATACGATCGAGAACCAATACCTAAAGTATATTGTATATATAATCACAATAAGTATTTACTGCACAAGAATCAGTATTTCACAAACAACAACCAATATTTAAAGCACATGAACTGACCATCTTACTGTCATCTATGATATAACATACAAAAATTGGTATTTGTGCAAATTAAATGAATAGAAAATAAATTACAATTTAATTTAATGGAGAACTTTAATAAAAAGAAAAGAATATTTTGTTTCTAAAATTAGTGGACAACTAAAGTCACTTAATGAATTAAATTAAAATTAATATAATATGCACCTTAATGAATTACCTTACTAAGAATATGGAAACGTGTAACATATATGGAGCACATTAATTGTAAAACGGTTGGCAATATAGAATAATACAAAAATGCCCTCTAGATCCATTTAGTCCACCGCAGATGAACATGTATTATGGATGGTGAGGATGTGTTCTCACGTTCTCATGTTAAGACTCGTTCTCATTTGAACCAAAATCTATAATCTATATATATATATATATATATATATATATATATATATATATAGAGAGAGAGAGAGAGAGAGAGAGAGAGAGAGAGAGAACTCTTCTTGTCAGGCCGGCCTGACGGGAACCTCCGTCCGGCCGAGCCCGTTTGGGCACCTTCCCGGTGGAATTTTTTGATGAATTTTTTTTAATTGTTCCTCATCAAGTCTAGTTTGTCCATACCAAATTTCAGCTCAAAATTCGATCAGGAAGGCAGTCAAATCTTTTTTTGAAGTTGACTGCGTCAAAATATACATATAAAAACGCAGTCAACTTCAAAAAAAGTTTTGAATGCCTTCCCGATCGAATTTTGAGCTGAAATTTGGTATGGACAAACTAGACTTAATTAAGAACATGCTCAAAAAATTTCATCAACAAATTCCACCAGGAAGGTCGCCAAAAGGGCTCGGTCGGACGGCTCTCCCGGTCAGGCCTGCCTGACATGAGGATTTCTCATATATATATATATATATATATATATATATATATATATATATATATATATATATATATATATATATATATATAGTATGGATCAAATAAACAATACTTCCTAGGTGAAAAGTAAGAACTAATCTTGGCCATTGATATGAAAAAATGGATGAAAGAGATCAAATTTTAAGTGAAAAATGCGGTGGCATTTTTGTAATTATGAAGATTTTTAATAAAAATGGTATACAAAAAGTGTACAAGAATATGCACAAAGTGTACATGTAGATCACAAAAGTGCATAACGGTACATCATAAAATGTGCACAAGTTCAAACAAATTGGCAATCTTTTTTAACACTCAAGAGTGCACTTTTAGTCTTTTAATATCCACTTTGCACAATAAACATTTGCACATTATTTGACTCTGTGTCTTGTGATTAAAGTTAATCAAATCCATTCATTTACAAGTGATTAAAAGCTAAGATTTGTTCTTACTTTTCATTGGAAGAATACTTTTTATTTATTTGTCATTGAGAACTTTCAGCCAATTTAACGCTTTCAGTTATAGTGTCTTAAATTTTAGTAGATTAAACCAATTTTGTGATGCCAGATGGATTATATATACATCCTAGGAATACTTTATTGATACAAGAAACATGAAAGTAAAAAGTACTCCGCGTGAGATATTAACTTGTAAATAACTAGACATTCATTTGCTAGACTGAAAGAGATAATAGATCAATTTAAGTGACACCAAACTTAAGAAGCACGGAAACGCCAATCAGGTGGAAGTTTCCGTCCTGGAAACGTTTCGGAAACGCGAAACGTCGGGAAACTACGGAAAATGCCTAGATACGCCGGAGAAACGTTTCTACAGTCGTGGGCTTTTGGGTCGGGTAGGGAAATGTTTCAGAAACAGGATTTGTGACCGACGCGTTTCTTGTAAACATTTTAAAAAACCTTTCTCGGTCAAGCAAACGTTCTCCACTTCCCCCTATCGGCGGACTGATGAAACAATTCCTGTGAGGGTTGCGACTTGCGAATCCTTACTCAGCAACAGTGTAACACTCGACGAACGACGGGAAGAACAAGACAAAGGGAGATTTGGATGAATTAGACTTCAAGGTTGAAGCAATACGCGACACTCACGATTCTAAGTTCGAGTGCTGGTCTGCTAGAGAGAAGTTGGTGTGTGGTATCTGCTAGTTTGTTGGATGGTGGGTATTTCGATGAGACTTGAGAGACTTCAGATTTAATTCTTTAATTTCCACTTTAATTCCAAGTGCTTCCTATATTTTTTGGACATAAAAACTACCTATATTAGTAAAATTTTAATTTTTAGTTCCGCATTTCCTTGCCGGAATTTCCCCATCCCCGTTAACTGCTGGTTTGCTGGATGGCGGGTATTTCGGTGAGACTTGAGAGGCTTCAGATTTAATTGTTTAATTTCCACTCCAAGTGCTTCCTATAGGGGTAGACTCGGGCCGGACCGGGTCTCGGTCCAACTTTTTTTTTTTGCTTTTCCTAATTAACCCCCAACCCTCCCCCCTCACCCCCAAACCACCTCAAATGGCCCAAAATACCCAGCCCAATCCAAAAACTTAAAAAATTCAAAAAAAAAAAAAGAAAAAATAAATAAATTGGCCCGGACTGGGCCCGAACCGGCCAAGCCGGTTCACCTTTACAGGGGCCCGAGCCCGGCCCGGAACCCCAGTGGGTCGGGCCTACCCGGCCCGGCCAAGGTCGGGCCAACGGTTTGGGCCGGTTCAAACTTCAAACAGTGACCGGGCCGGGCCGGACTGCCCGGCCCAAGTCCACCCCTAGCTTCCTATATTTTTTGGACAAAAAACTACCTATATTGGTAAAATTTTAATTTTTAGTTCCGCATTTCCTTGTCGACGTTGCCGTACCCGCATCTTAATATTTTGACATTAGAGTTTCCCCGTCTCGGTTTCCGTCCCTGACTCCCTGTTTCCGTCCTGGTGCTAGTCATGGACCCAGTTCGGGCCGCCCGGCCCGGGACCGGCCCGGCCCGCTACTATGCAAGCTCGGAACTGGCCCGGTTCTCGGGTCCGGGTCGGGCCTAGGCCCAATGGGGGCGGGTCCAGGCTCGGGCCTTGTATTTGGCGAACCGACCCGGGTCCAGGCCGAATTAATTTTTTTTTTTTCATTTTCTGGGTTACCCGGGTTGGGCTCGATGGTTAAGAGGGGTTTGGGGGTGGGGGGTGGGGGGGGGGGGGTAGGAAAGCAAAAAAAAAAAAAAAAAATTGACCAAACCGGAGGCCCGGCCCAGCCTCGGTGGCTACCCGGGCCGGTCCCGGGCCTCCCTTCCAAAAAAAAAGCCCGGCCGGGCCCGGCCCGGAACCGGAATCGGCCCGGGTCAATGACTACCTGGTGCTACTTAGCACCAAACGGAATATATATGTCCTAGTAATACTTTATTGATACAAGAAACGTGAAAGTTAAAAGTGAGATATTGAATTGTAAATAACTAGCCATTCATGCGATAAAGAATAAAAGAATCAGAACGTGAGAGATAAAAACACCTTTAGAAGCATCAAATAAAAAATCGCAAAATATTGGAGTAGAGGAAATGCTCCGGCCATCTGTATTTGTATATTTGCGTCACTTTCTTTTTTATTCTCTATTCATATTTGCACCACTTTGTTTTTAATAAGTTTTCCATTTAAAAGTATACAACAATTCTTATTTTTTTCATCTCCTCTTTTTTGCTTTAAATATTCTCTTCTATACTACTCCGTATTCATTACCTCATTTTATTTTTTTGCTAATTTGCAGGATGAGGGGCCAAGAATTTTGCCCTCGGCTTGATCTTGATTGGCTGGGAATGTGGGATGTTGTTTTAGTCCTTAACTTTTTTATGCTTTCAAGTTTAGTTTCATACGCACAGACATAAATACACCAGAATTTTGAGTAGAAAGCTCTATGAAACCAGTCTGAGATGTTCTGATTCTTTCTAGTTCTGAGATCATGATCATCACCATTACTCTTCATCTACAAGAACGACTGACTCATTCCCAAATCCAGCATCATTCAAATTTGCCGTGTCATCATCTAGCAATGTTGGCAATGGTGCCCCCTGCATAACCATTTATGACTTTGCAATAAAGTGTGGGATATCATTTGTATGCAAGCGAGTATATACCAGTAGTTCAATACGTACCACTTCATGAAGATATAATTTGGGCTTTATAGATCTTAGGTTGAAGAAACTCTCACATAGGTTCTTCAGCTTCCCAATCTAACTCAAGCGTTAATGTCAATACCAAATAAAAGCAAGAGGATAGGATACACGATGACGTTTGGGGTATTACCGTGGTTGTTGCGGGCAACTTCTTGGTGAGTGGGGGCTTTTCACAGATTGATGCTCCAACACACTTCATGGTAATTGCTGCAGGGTAAGTTCGAACCACATTCAGAAAGGAAGAACACATATATGCCATAGCAAGCTGATACATAAATAGAAGACAGTAAAAGATCTATTACAAATAAGTCCTGCTGCCATTTTCTGGGGCCCGGTTGATCCACTCTGCAGTTTTTCATCCTCTATTCCATGGTATCTTTTAAGCTCAGCAAATCTATTATCATATATATATGACCATGCATATTAGAAAATCTAAATATGTTATTACATACTCTGTCCACCCACAAAAAGAGTCAAGTTTCAAATTCTTTTCAAGGAGGCTAAGTTGTTGTGTATTTTTTCCAATAAGAGTTACAAACAAGCTCAATATGAAAAATTTAGTCAAACCAAAAAAATACTCCGTAATGCGGAGTAACTAACAAAATAGGTGGGGTTCAATGGCTTTAAAGAATTGTACCTTACCAAAACTAAAAAGTTGTACCCTGACCAAATATGGCTTATTAATTTGGGACGGATGGACTTACCATGATTAAGTTGTCAGAAAAAACCAAATAAATAGTTTTTAAAAGATATAAATAAATCAATTGGTAGAAGGGCCAGATACCAAGAACCAAAACAACAAAAGGGCCACACGCCCAAAGCACATAAGAGATTTCCATTTACATGCAACTGCCTAAACATGATAGAATATCGACATTGGTCTGTAAGTACTTGTTGAGATAATTACAGAAGAAAAAAATGTTACCTTGGGTGAAGTCGCTCAATTTTTTGTGGAAATTCCCTACTCTTAGACATGACCAATCGGACATACCTGCATGGATATTGCTGAGTAAAACCCAATCTCAACAAGTGGGTGGATCCATCGTTACAGGAAAAAAAGAGAAAAGAAGGCCAACCGAATCTCTGATTCTTTCCGTTCCCGAATACTAACCTACAGAAAGTCAATGAAAATATATACATACATTTTTAATAGATTGATTTTTAAACATCAACTATGACGACTTCCACAGTATCCAGAAGTTACCTCGCTTCCATTTAATATTTTTACACCTGCTAGACGTGCAACCAAAACATATCGGGGCATGCCACACTTTTCTGGATCTGCTACTGGATTCTCTGAAAGTCTGACGTCCTAGGTAAGAAAAAGGCATTTAAATCCTTGAATAGATTTGTAAAGGGGAAAATAATTAAAATACCCCAAACTTTGATGGGGTGTGAGGTAAGCACCCCAAACTTGTATATGTATTTTAAATACCCCAAACTTTATATAAAAATATATATTTTAACACCACGTTCAGGTATTATTTCATTCAAAAATGTAAATTGATGGTGTTAATTGCATATTTTGAAATTTTTTAGCATTCATGAAGATGAAATTAACATTATAAACTTCCATTATAAAATAATACTACCCCCTCCCCCCAGACACTCTATATAATTGCATCATTTTCAATTTGCTATTTTAAATTATGCAATTAACACCATAAATCTACATTTTTGAAAGACATAATACATGACCATGGTGTTAAAATGACTTTTTATATAAAGTTTGGGGTGTTTATCTCACACCCCTTCAGCGCTTGATGCGCTTCATGCGCCTATGCTGCGCCTTACCCTGGTACGTGCGCTTCACCTATTTCCAAGCGCTGGGGGGTATGCTCGCTGCGCCTTGTGCGCTTAAGCGCTGAGGCGAGCGCTTTTGACAACCTTGGTTTGGGGTATTTTAATTATTTTCCCTTTTGTAAACACATATATTGCAGCTAAGTATGAGTTTCATCTTTTGATTAAATGTGCATAACATGGAGTGTCTGGGAATACAGTTGAAATTTTGAATTGGAGACTTTGAAATTAATTATGACTTTATATTCAGATAAAAGCTTACCAACAAATCCGGGAAACTATTCAGTGAATCAACGGATTCCAAGTCTTTAATGTTGTTGTTACCTATAGTTTTAAAGATTAAAAAGCAAAAAGCAACCAGCTAAAGCAATAGCAGGAATGATTGACAGCAAAAATTTGTCAAAGAAAGATGCTATGGTAATATTTTTCGGTATTTACCAAGAAGAAGGGAATGCAGATTCTTGAAAGGCCTAGAGCTTTTGGTGTTACATTCATCAACATTCAGGGTTTCATACATAGTGACATTATCAGGGTACCAGATGCAGCTTATATTATTGTGATTCAAAAAAAGCTGCTCCAAACTAAATGCAGTAAAAGTAAAGAGAATGGGAACCAAAAGAAGTAAAAGATAAAAATTTTACATGAACAGAAAAACGTTCAATTCTGGTACCTTTCAAGTTGTGAAAGCTTCAAAATTTCACCCCACGAATCTATACAGTTACAATCCAGATTAAGGAGATGAAGAAACTTGAACCCCTGAACAAAAGCTGAAGATGATGGCTGGATAGACAAAATACACGTTTATTAGAGAAAAGCTTACCAAAGATTTTTATGACTCACGACAAAGATTTTATCTTTTGATCATTTACACAGTATGCATTACAAAACAGATTCTCCATTCCAGTCTCCGTTTTCAACTTACTTAATGAATATATGACACACACGCATGCGCGCTCACACACACACATATATACAGGGAAACATCAGTAAGCTAAAATATATTTTTCTTCCACTCAGGAAAGGGAGTCATGTTTCAAGCACCTTTTTGTCCTAAATACAAAGAGCCAAGATTGATCAGACAAACTTGTACTCAGTATTTCATTTAATTTTCCAAAAAAAAGTCAGAAAAGTTACATTTGATAAATATAGCAAAACCAAGTAGCAAACTAATAGATATTAAAGATAAAAGTAGGATTCGTGATTTATGACATGTGTGCCTTACTGAAATTAAAGGTGTAACTTAACAGAACACGAGTCTTTCTTTTTGAGGTAGTAAAATGAGATAAGATTATTTGCTTCAAAACCCTTTCGTACTCCAAGAAAGATTTAAAATGAACGATATGAACTAAAAGTAACAATAATAGTAACGAAATCTTACAGCAGAGAGTACCGTTATTTCTTTCAATTTATTCCCAACCAAATGTAACTCTTCTATCATAGGAAGGGAATCTTTAAGAATCTCAACCTGTTAAATTAGATGTGTTATACGTAAAATATGTTTAGCAAAATTTAATTAAGATAATGAACTAAACAGAACGCTTACATGCTTCCAGCCGATTCCAGTATGGTTCAAAACTAAAACTCGTATAGCATTTAGCATGGGCATTCCACATATATCATGTGACATAATGTTGCGCGATAGGTTCAGAACTTCAAGAGCATGTAATGTTGTGCAGATTACACCAACATCCTAGTAATTAAAATACACACAATATGGTTAAGTCATTTGTATTGTTATAGGTCAACAAACAAAGATGAATTTGACTAAGTGGATTGGTTCTTATTGAAAAATAGCATATTTATTTCTATCCGAATAAGCCAAAAAAACAGATAAAAGCTACACTTCATTCGTGTCAATCTACATTACTCTTAGAAACAGGTCAAACATAAAACAGTCAGCTTTCAGATTTCCCAAATTCGCTTATAGACCTCCAAAAGCTATGTGAAAAGAACCGCTCTAATGCATCAATACTTCTTTGACTATAATTCTATAAGGTGCAAGACAAAAGGCAACAAGGGCAGACAGGAACACCATGAAATTGGCAACAAAAATATTGTTTTCATCTCAGACACGACTTACAGTAATTAGCACGAATGGTCTGTCCAAGCAACAGTGGAGCCACATTAGGACCTGGGGGCATCAGGCATGCGCCCCAAATTTTGGCATATTAATACTCCCCCCATATTCTTTTATTTGTTATATTAAGCTTTTTACACAATTTAACGGTAAAATAGTAGGGGTAGTGAATGTTGTAGAAAAAGTAGGAAAAATGGTGGAAAAGTGTGAAAGAGAAGATGAAAATATAAGGGAAACTAGTATCTTTAAATAAAAAACTTAGCCAAAAGGGAAAGTGTTGCAAACACTAAAAAGGAGAAGGTTACATTTACATCAAGTACAATTATTTTTTGCATGTGATAGGTATATTTTAGTTATTTAAAAAATATTAAAGTACATTGTCCCCCCCCCCCCCCCCCCCCCGCCCCTCGAAAATATTATTTTCTTGATATATGTTACTGTCTCCAAAATTTTCAATCTTTCACCAACGATGCAGAAAGAAATTGCAAGGTCTCTTAAATTTCTTAAAAAAAAAATAAGACTCAACAAACTGGTCAGAATTATACTTACTTTCGTTTGACTTCATAATTAGGCAGTCATATCCCAAAGGTTACTATACGAAAGGGAATTCCATGATCTAAATCTGTATTGAGTATGGACTAACCTCATCCATACAATTCACTTCGTTTCCTAAGCTAACAAGAGTAGGAAGTTTTCTTTTCCTATATATCACTAACAGAGTCTACAAGTTTTAATAATACCCAAAGCATTTTAGCCTCATAGAAATACGAACACTGTAATTACAAAATGGATTGAAATTCAAGGCAGAACATGGAGAAAAAAATGACTTTCAATTGTTAAACATGTACCTCCCACTCAGAGAGCAGGTTCCCAGTCAAAACAAGCTCCTTCACATCTGTAAAAAACAGTTATATGTTAAAAAGGTTGTGCATTAGTGAGTTTCATAATTTACACTTAAATAATGTGCATGCCAAGCCTGAGCTCAGGGAGGGGGGGGGGGGTCAATTTGAGAAGCAGTTCATTTACTAGGTATAGTTGTAGTAATGTGGTGTGGATCTCCAGCATAGCCAACTCCTAGATATGACAATGATGCGCTTTTCAATTCCTCAAAATGACTCAGTTTATTCTGAATTTCTTCTTTACCGAGAAGCTGGACCGTTACTCGCTTGTTGCTTGCAGAGAAAACATACATCTCGTCTACATCAGAGGAAAACAACAATATACAATATTTGAGGAGGGGGATCAAAAAACAATAAATATGTGTGTGTGTGTGTGAGTGTATGTATGTATGTATATATGTGTATATGTATGTATGTGTATATATATAAATGAATAATTAACTAACAACTATTTGAAATGTGTTTGTTTGTGAAATTAAGCACAAATGGAGAGTTATATATAAACCCTAGAACTCGTGCTCTCCGACAAATGGACAATGCTATCCATATGCTTCAACATTTTTGAAGGGCCCATTTGGAACCCAAAAACTAGGGAGAAAATGGGAAGGATATTTGGGGAGAAACATAAAAAACTTGTGCAAAGAAATCATTTTTGGTAAAATGACTTGAAAAATACTACATACCAATTATATGATATAAGCTAAAAATAAACCCAACTTTTGATATAACAGATTGATGGCTAAACTTATACCGAAAGTTATACGAGCATATTTTCAGGCAAAAATCTAGCTAAAGTGCTGAAACAATGTTATTTTTTAAACCAATTTCACATCATTTTTACATATTTACTTGAACTCAATTGAGCTACACACAACATTGCTATTAAATACTCTGTAGTATATAGTTCTATCATCCCTCAATGAAGTTCCTACTTTGACTTTTGATGGCTAAACTTATACCTAAAGTATAAGTTTTCACGTTTACCTCCAAGTTATGCATAAAATGACCAGTTTTCTTAGAATTTTTTTCACATTTCCCTACTCTTTTACGGAACAGTAAAAATATGTGAACTTTAATAGCCAAGAACCTCATCATTCTTTTTAAGTAGTAGTAAAAATGTTTTACCTATAAAACCAAGTAGATTCAATTCACCTGGAAAGAAAATCTTTCCTCTGTTTCAGGTACCCATTATGCAATCTCCCTCGTTCAGTGACAAAAATGTCAACGAAGTGTTTACTTGAGTGTGTAACTCGCGAACTCTCCTCTCTACAAATGTTGCAATACTTCATTACCGAATAGCAAAGGTAAGAGTTATACTTACCTTCATCTTCTTTACTAGAAGCCGTGCCGTACCGGAGCTCGACGGCGTGCAAGAGTGAAATGCCGGCACTGAGATTGTTCGGGCGTACAAACGATGCCGATGTACTGCTGGAAGCTTCGAAGTATCGCAGCCCGTTATGGCAGCCATCGTGTTTGCCGTTCCCGTCGTCCCAATCAACCCCGATCCACGTTCCCGTGTAACCTTTCACTGGCCCGATATATTTCACGCTGCCGGTCCGGTGGGAGTCACCAGAGTAGTGCACTCGTTGGCCGACCCGAAACTCAGGCGAACCGGACCCGTTGCGAGGTTCTCTCAAATTGGATCTCTCGGAGCTAAGCATGTTGACATGAGGCATTTTTCAAAAACAACCATTCATTTATGGAGTACGATAGTATATTTTACTCGTACTACCTGTTCTCTTCTAATTGCAACATCTATAGATAATACATTTGAAAGATACAATTATAGAAAGTTTTGTTATGTGTCACCTTCTAAGCAAACATTAATTATTATATTTTAAATGCTCTTTCTAATTTAATACCTTAATTATTCTTCCGATACATTATTAGTACGTATTCAACTTAGATTAGAACTTATTATATGTTGTCATTAGTTTAGGACTAATCTACCGGTTGGAACCTTAGGTAAGGCAATTATTTAAAAAACTTCCTAAAACTTTGCAATTCAAGTAATAACATCCCATGTTTATTTTAAACTACAATAACTTTTTTATGTGTACTCTGATGATTACGAAAAATACATTAAATTTCATAACTTTTTATTAGCTTTCATATGACACCAATATTGACTATATAAAAATAAAAAATAATTTAACACTTTAATAAACATTTGTTTGTTAAAGCGATATACATAGTATAAAAATTCATAACATTTTATAATCTTTAATATGACACCAATGTTGCATATATAAAAAGTATCTATTAATATGTGTTGTTCATGTTCTTGCACATATATAATAGAATTAATTTTTTTATATTTTTATGCATGCAACATTTGTGTCATATGAAAAATAATAAAAAGTTAGGAATTTTGATATAGATTTTGTAACAATCGGAGTATAAAAAAGTTGTAGAAGTTTTAAGAAACGGATGTTATTTTAAAGTGTTCAATTAGTTTTTAAATTTATGTATCCAATACTGGTATCATTAAAAGATAATAAAAAGTTATTAATTTGATATATTTGTTGTACCAGCTAGAGCACAAATAAAAATGTTATAGCATTTATAAAACATGTGTTTTAAGGTGTTATTTTTTTTTAAAGATTTAACACTGGTCTCATATGAAAGATAATAAAAAGTTGTGAATTTTAATGTCTGAATTTTGTAACAATTGGAGTTCAAATAAATTAAAAAAGGTATACCACATTATAATAAATATGTGATTTTATTTTGGTGGAGCCCTGATGAGTTATAATTGAACACGACAAAATTTTGATATTTTATAATTTTGATCCCATTTGGTAACACAGAAATTGGCTTAATCGACTTATTCTACTGAATTTTATGAAATTCTGGTTGAAGTGGCTGAATAAACTGATTCTATTGACTTATGAAAATTTATATTTAAAATATTGTTTACTGATAAATTAAAGATTTTTTTAATAATAGCTAAAATAATCATCCACAGTAATTTCAGCTAATACAGACAGCAAAATAACTTCAACCTTATGTTGTCTTATTACTACCTCCGTCCGACTAATATTGAGACAGAAAGGGATGACACGATTATTAAGAAAAGTGAGTTTATGTGGTTGATATTAATTGATAAAGTAAGAATATTGATAAAGTAAGAATGATTCAGAGGCACACAAAATTTACCAAATTTGGTATGAGACAATTTTAGTGCAATTTTCCAAAAATGTAAAATGGGACAATATTAGCTGGCCGGAGAAAGTATTATATAATTCAGGGCGCGAAATCAAAAATTACGTCTTTGATAAAAAAGTTGGCTGATAAGTCGAAAATAGTCATCAAACGGGCTCTGTAAATTTAAAAATTTTGAAACAATATTTTGAGTAATTCTTTGTAGTACATACGTAGTATATGATGTGATATATTATGAGTAATAAAAAGCTATTATAAATTATCTTTAAGTACATGTAATCCAAATGTAAAACAAGTACGATAGTATACCGGTTTTTTTAAAAAAAAATATTTCTCTTTCCCATAATTTTAAACAAACAATTAATAAATAAGGAAATTTTTTCGTATTCGATTAAATTTCAACAAAGTTCTATACATTATTTATGTAAAATTTAAAAATCTTTAAATATTTTAAACCAAATGTAGCTATGTAAAAAGGGAAAAATTAATAAAAATACACCAAACTTTGAAGGAGTGTGAGTTAAACACCCCAAACTTGCATATGTAATTTAAATACCCTAAACTATAAATGAAAATTTAATTTTGCACCATTGCCATGTATTATTTCCTTCAAAAATGTGAATTTATGGGTTAATTGCTTAATTTAGGATAGAAAATTAAAAGTGTTGCAATTATATAGATTGGGGGTAACATTATCTATATTCTAATGGATGTTTAGAATGTTAATTGTGTCTTCATGAATTTTAGAATATTTAAATTATGCAATTAACACCATAAATTTACATTTTTGAAAGAAATAATATTTTATTATGGTGCTAAAATAAATTTTTATATAAAGTTTGGATATTTAAATTACATATGCAAGTTTGAGGTGTTCATCTCACGCCCCTTCAAAGTTTGAAGTAGTTTATTTATTTTTTCCATGTAAAAATACATTTTGTATTTTACACGGTTAACAATGGATTTAAGCTATTAAAATTTGAACTCCCCTAATTTAATAACATAATCCGGAAAACAATTTAATGATTTTTCTTTGACATTTGGGATTATATTATTTGAGGTAATTGGACATTTTAATTTGTTTTTTTATTGGGAGTAATTATGTTGGCTACAAATTTTTCTAATGGATCATAGGATATTATTAGACCTTTAATGTGGGCAACTGCCCCCCAATGCTGGTTGTACATCCACCCCTGGTGTGAACTAGAAAATATTGTCTAGAAGTGAGATATTATTTAATTCAATATAATAACTACAAGCACCAAACCGAAATCAAAGTGGAATATAACTAAACAAAAAAAAATTAAGCATCCCCAAATAATTTCAATAAAATTGTTTTAAAGAAAATCTAATAACTTCCAAGTCATTCCTAAAATGAATAAAATAGCAAAACATCATAAAATGAAAGTGGGAAAAAATAAAATATACAACAAGGCTGCACTATAAGAAATTGCTAAATATAAATTTGTGTTAATGCTATCTCAAATTTATGTTCACCTTTCTAATTAAGGATATTTCCATTTGGAATAAATTTTTTTTATCTCATTTATGAAAGTAAAAGTTATTTTTACTTCAGTGTATATATTACTACCTCTGTCTCAATTTGATGGTAACAATTCTTATTAACATGGTCAACACAAATCACTCTTAATCTCTTACTTTATATATCAATTTTTTTTTATCAAATTTGATTCGCGGGTTTGCGACTTTGTAAAGCTTTTAATGTGGTTTCTGAATATGTAATTTTCTAAAAATAATTTGGGTGCAGGCAAGGATCGGTTTGCTTTATCGTCTGTCAAACATCACAAACCGCTGTGGTATCATCAAATTTGGAGAAAATCATTGTGGAGAAAAATTTACCAATACTGTATAAAATCATTTAAATAAGGAGAGAAAAAATTTATTTACTAATATTTATGTGGCTATCTCTCATGACACGTGTGCACCGTGCACCTTGTACCATTGGAGATGCTCTAAACAACAAAATCATTTTATCCTGTGCACGGCACGGGTAAAGATACTAGTAATTGCAACATAGGACTTTTTTCATTATTCACAAATTCTAGTTTGATTATATTTTATTTATTAATGTATTACGAGTTAATTTTTTTAAAAATATTTTTAAATTCCTCTCATAATAAATTTTCAAAATCTGATTTTTTAAATTTGTTTACTAATAAGGAATGAAAGATATTAACGGTCAAATTTGTGCGTTGGCAAGCGTGAAAAGTGGACTGTTGCAATCAGGGTTGACCATGTTTAGGAGGTGCGGCCAAACAGGGCCCGGATCAGGAGAGGGCCTAATTTTTAATACTCCGTATGTTAGATGCAATAATTTGATCGATTATTACGCCGAATGTTATATTTGCTCTGTTCATTTGTGGCATTGCATATTTGCATGTAGGATTAAAGCCAATTCCAAAATGCAAATAAAATCGTGTACTCTACGTGTATACATACAGGGGCGGAACCACCATAGAGCCTGGAGTTGCCTGTGCCCCTCCAGTGAGTTGTTTTTAAAAAAATATATATATACATATATTACTTTTTATTAATTAGAGCCCTTGCAGCCCAATCCAACTCTCCCTTTCCCTTTCTGTCTGCCCCAGTCCCATTTCCCTCTTTCCCATCAGCCCAATCCATTAAGGCTCAATAGCTCAACTCAAGCCCCCAGCTTCCCTTTCCGGCTTTCCCCTTAGCCCTTGTACCGCTTCAGCAGTTCGGCGGAATCGGCAATTCAAACTCACATCAGTCTCAGCAAAATCAACTCCCAGCAACTCAGCGAAGGCCGACGGCGACCGGCGACTACGGGCACCTAAGCGACGGCAACTGTGAGCATCACAGCGACGGCCGACGGCCACTAACCAGTGACCACGGTCTTGCAATCTTGCGGGTATATTTAATATTTTTATTGTTGATCGAAGAATAATAGGGAATGAATATTTGAATGATGATTGATGAATGGTTTATGCTTCATTTGTAACTTGTGACCTAAGATTTACCAACTAGAGTACTAGACAGCAATTTTGATTTGTTGATGCATTTTCGGCAATTATATTATGATAATCTCATTAAAAATATTAATTATATTGTAAATTTATAATTGTGGATTCGTTGAATTATTGAACATTGTTAATTTGTTATGATGTAATTTTTACAATTACACTCATATTATTTCAATTGTAGTTGGTTTAGGTTGTTTGACAAACAATCACTATGTTATGATATTTTCCGCCGAAACCTACACAGCCAAGTATTGGTGGTTCTTCATCGAATAATTTAGTTTCTTCCTCGGATAATGTCATTCCTAACAATGAGACTAATGTTAAAGAAAACTCGAAAAGAAGTTAAAATGTCGGATGATGACATTGTTGGATATTTGACAAAAACATTGGTTGAAACATAGTGACACACATATTATAAGGTTGAAAGATCTTTCTCCACGATGAAGTTTATCAAGAATGATTTGCGCAACAAGATTGGAGAAGAATTCTTGACCTATTGCTTGGTGTGTTATATTGAGAAAGAT